TGGATCCATTTCAGGACTAGCTTGAGCAGTATGCCTCTATTAACTGAGAAAACGGGTGCAGGGACATCAGTTACATGATATAGTTGTCCTTGCAAAGCGTTAGGTCTTCCCAGCAACACCTTTTTCACAGCATGGCTTGGAGCTGTGGTTGCATTAGTACATGCTGAGACTTTGGAAGCACCAATCCTCTAGCACTTTTGCTGGCACACGGGTTTAGGAGGTAATTTCCAAAGGGGAGGCACAGTGGCATAAAATTAAGATGACTGGCTCAACTAGTTGATCTGCTTGAGGCTTCCTGCCCACATTAATCCGACACTAATTGGACCTGAGATAAAACTGTCTGGACCTGAGCCAAAGACCTCATCCTAAGTGTGGCAAGTAAATAAGTATGACAAACGCTTGCAAAATGCCTGGGATGGCCATCATCATGTGTGCATGCTGAAGGTGTAGTACACAATGGTTTATCACAAGCCTTATTTGCCTAGTGTAGAGACAGCTCTAGATATGGAAATCAGATATTATTTGTAGTATGGTGGCATCCACAGGCCACTACCAAGATCAGAGCCCCATTTGTACATACGTAAAAATACACTGTTAAAAGCATTGCTGCCCCAAAGAGCTGTAATCAGAGTATACGAGGGGAATGGAGAGATGAAATGATTTGCCTCAGGTTACACAGCAAGTCAGGAGCAGAGATAGGAACAGAACCTCAATATCCTATCCACTGGACCATGTTGCTTCTCACAGGTATGTAATCACAGTACTCTGAGAGAAATATATAAAGAAAGGGGAAGACACTATATACATGGTAGCACACTGGCAAATTTAGCCATATCCTTGCTGTTATTTTAATGCATATTGAATCTCTCTTGAATGTGGGCAAAGAACGGAAAGGTGTGACCCTTTTTGTGCATGACATACTTGCTTCCTACCATCACCTTAAATGGATAGGCTTTTACTTGGTCATTAGGAGAGTGTTACTTCACAGAAAGGAGTTTAATGTCTGCTTTGTCTCAATGTTATTCAGCCAGTGATGTTCAGGCAAAATGTCTTTGTTTTACTACCATATATAGTGCAGCATTGCTAACCCCAGGCATATAAAATTCATGAGTCAGGCCCCAAAAATCATGGCCCTCTAAAATGGTGAGATTTTGAAAAAAATGTATGTTTGCGATTCTCTGTATTTGCCTCCTGGTTTTGAAGCCTTCAGTTTCATATTTTCAAAGTTAATCTGCAGCTGTGAGGGCTAGAAACCTTTTAAAATTAAATTTGAGATTCTCAGGAGCAGGATTGAAGAAAACACCAAACTCTGCCAGTCTAGTGATAAACCGCAGGAACTCTCAGCTCTATAAACAGACTGACCACCAGATCCCTGTTGTGAGTAGCTTTAACTCCATTTTATGTCATTGGCACTATCATGATTTTCACCAGCTAAGGATCTGGCTCATTACCTGCCTGTAAGGACTTTCTAACCAAAGCAGAAACTACAAGTGGGTGAGCCAGCTCTGCTTCTACTGCCCTCCATTTTGCTAGTACTATGTTACTCTGTATCATTGTTGTTATATGTATCATAGAACCACAGAAATGTAGGGCTGGAAGGGACCTCTAGAGCAGTGCTACTCAAAGTGGTGGTCCGCGGACCGGTGGTGGGTCCGCGAGCCATCGGCTGCCGGTCTGCGCGCACATTGGAAAAAAAAATGCCGGTCCCCTACATCATAGCTTGAGAAGCACTGCTCTAGAGGATATTTAGTTCAGCTCTCTGCACTGAGGCAGGACCAAGTAAACCCAGACCATCTCTGACAGGTGTTTGACAGTAACTGGGATTCCACAACCTCCTTTAGAAGCCAGTTCCAGAGTTTAACTTTCCTTATAGACTCCTTATAACTCCCCGCCCCCCCCCCATATCTAACCTAAATCTCCCTTGCTGAAGAATAGGCCCATTACATATATATTTAAAAGTCAGGAAGACCAAGTCCTTCAACATGAACAGGCACTTGTAGTGTTGTCAATTGTAATCATTACTGCCCCACAGAAACCATCGAATAACATTCTGCATAGCTGTCAAGCCTTAGAGACTGGCACCACTGCAAAAACATAATTAATTTATGATACAACAAAACATTTATATAATTTGTGCTTTGGCCCACAGAGAGGTAACTAGGTTAAATTGAATGAGTAGATAGATGTTATTAGATATCATATTTTGTAATCCCCTGTTAAGCAAGAGGCCATGCACTGCATTCATTTTTGGAAGCCGTAAAGCCCTGGTTTATCCAGTCCCATAATTAGACAGGATCATGAAAGAGAGAGCACTTCACTTTGAGAACATTTACGTCCATTTTTGAAGTATCTTTTGGAACTAGGCAGGTTGAATGTTTCAGAATATGAATCTATTTTCTTCCCTCTTTCTAACTTTTAGAGAAATAGAGAAGGGCACTGAAAAAAACAGATGGTTGGCGCTATTGTGGGAGTGGAAGAGATGTTAACTCATCCAATTATTCTGGGCTGCTCCTATGTACAATAATAATTATACTTTGAACTTTTTTATCTGAGGATCTCAACATTATTTACAAGTACTAATTAAGCCTCACCCCACCATGCAGTACAGTGGGTAATATTGGGCCAAGAGAAGAACTGAAGCACAGAATGCTTTAGTTCAAATTTTCAAGAGTGGCCACTCACGTTGGACTGAGCATTCCTTTCTTGGGAATCCACCCTGAGTCATTAAGGACATTCAGAAGTGCTTCGATTCACTCCATAAGGGAAAACAAAGCCCTAGGTGTCTCAAATTGGACAGCCAAAACTGGAGACATCCCAAATGCTACTGAAAACATTTGGTGTAGACGGTGTGTTACCATCACCTGAGGCCAGATGCTGTCACCCTTACTCATGGTGAATAACATCTCAGTCCAAGGCATCAAGAGAATGGTACTATTCAGCCTTACTAAGGGCAGCCCAATCTATCCCACAGTGAGTCAATGGCAGGGCTAGGAACAGCATACAGGATTCCTAATGTTTATACCTTTTTCTAACCATTAGATGACACTCCCTCCTTCCAGTAATGCACTGTGGCCATTGTTGCATACTACCACACTTCTAGTTTCAGAAAGTACATACTGTGCCACCTACTGCCTAGCTTGTTCACAACCCATGTATGTTAATTGTAGGCGAGTGGCTGTGTGGAGAATGCTAAGCATTATTTGACCTGATTGCACCTGGCCCTTGAATAGGTGTGCAGGGATTAGAGTGGGGTAGAGGAAGAGGGGAAGAGCACAACAACAGTTCCCATGGTCAGGGAGTAAAGGGTCTACCACCCCTTAGCAGGTCCAGGGTACAAATCACCCCAAAGGTGATAGAAAAGAAGAAGTTTGCCCTCCATACAGGCTGTGGAGCTGGTCGGGATTACGATCTCCCTCTGAGCTCTCGGGAGGGATTGTGCCCAATAAGGCATACTCTGTACCAAAGCTCTCCCCTGGGAAGCTGTGCAGTGTCCCTTACTCAGAGCCATGCATCTGTGGCACTATTTGGCCCTTTATCTTTCCTTCCTTCTCCCTCCACAAGAGATTTCTTTTTTTAAATCAAATTCAGCCCTAGGTAATTTCTTTTCTTGGTTGCATTTGGGAAACCCTGTTGAACTCAGTTGTGCTCTGTGGCTGTAACACAACAGAATATGATCCTTTGACCCACTTCCCTGATTCTTGTACAGTCCCAGGCACACTTATCACTTTACAAATCAATGACAAACACAAATGCAGTGGAGTGAGTGGCATGAGGAGCGGAAGGATGATCTAGTGATTAGGGTGCTAGCCTATAACTTTGGAGACCTGGATTTAATACTTTGCTCTGCCACAGACTTCTGTGTGATCTTGGACATATCACTTAGTCTGTGCCTCAGTTCTCCATCTGTTAAATGGGGATAGGAGCACTGCCCGGCCTCACAGAGGTGGTGTGAGGATAAATTTATTAAAGGCTGTGAAGTGCTCAGATGCTACAGCAATGCAGGTCAGTGGTCTCTAATTTCTCCCCAACACTGCTTCTCAGACCTTTTCTGGAGTGAATGGTTTTGTAATTGGTCATCTAAGGGTTGTGTATAGAGAGCAACATCCAAGCCACTTGTAAAACATTTTATTCAGTCTCACTGACTTTTGCAACTTGCCACCCGATGTCTTGCTCATGTTGTTCTTGTGTGCAATTATGACAAACAGAGGGACAGATTCTTAACTGGAGTAAATCAGCATAACTCCACTGAAGTCAATAGAACTACACTGATGTACATCTGCTGATTTGGCTCAAAATTTAATCAGAAAAAAGTGACAGGAACCGTCCTCAGAGGTTACTATAGTTTTTTTTTAAAAAAAAATGTATCTTCCTGCCACGAGATCGTGACATAACAATTATGCAACCAACAAGTTAAGGAACAATCAGAAATGGTAGGAACCAGCCCCACCTTATTCTTTTGCTTCAGAGTGAATAGGAGTCGAACCAAAGTAAACACACTTTGCTAGCCCCATCTTGCACTAATACAGATTGTACTATGCAAATTACTTTTAAACCCACACACAGAGACTAGCAAGAATCTGGGAATTATCTGATGGAATAATCCTATCAGTTGTTATTTAATTATTTAAAACAACACTCTCTCAAATTTTAGAATATCCCACAGCATAAAAATGGTGCTGGAATACAGGCCAGTATCTCGTGATCAACTCTGGGGTGCAAATACAGAACATTAGAGGTTTTGGGACACAAAATGCTTTTCTTCAGTCTTGTGTGTTGTATGAGTTAGTTACATTCTCAGACAGGAATGTTTTTACATTTCAGCTCAGCTTGCTAAACTATTCACCTTCCAAAGCTACTGTTAAAGAACTTTACAGTTTAAAGGCTAAATGTGCCAAAGTTAGGGAATTATTAAGCTTGCCTATGAATATTTTCTCTTGTTAACTTGTGCTGTCTTTATATTCCCTATAAAATCATCAGACTCTAAAGACACATTCACTTACCCTCTGTAGATTCACTGCTGCAGATCCAGAATACTCCCGCAGACTCACAGTGACACAGCCAGCCTTCCTGTGTAGAGTCACTCATATACAACCAACTCTCTACAGATTTGTTGAGGCATATTCAGCCGTAATCAAAGCAAAGGGCTAGACTGTGACTTGAACTCCCATACTCTCTGCCTGGGCTACCTGAATCTTGGGTCCACATGTATAGGAGAAAGCAGGAAGAGGGCAGAGAGGGGTAGAAAGCTCTTCCCCCACCCCATCTGCCACCAGGCACTAGCTAGCAAAGCCTAGCTGGTGTGTGGGATATTGTAATTTGCCACTGGTTTAGGTCAGAACTAAAATACTACCCTCCAGAGTAAAGGGAAAGCATTGAAAGTGCCTCAGATAAGCATATCTGCAACAGAATGCCTCCTCGGGCTACTCCGAGAGTGGGGCAGCTTTCCCATGCACAATCTGTGCCATAGAAATTAGAGATGGATAAGATCTTTCTCTCTCCCTGAGGCAGCATTGCCCACTGGGATATATGGTCCAGTGATTTCTCCACAGTGTAATAGAAATTTTTCTTGATATTCAGCTTGAGTGTTCTTTTCTCAACTTCATTCCATTGTACCTCATTGTTCCACATGCACTAGCATAAATAATTCCCCTCTGTCCTTTTTACCCTTCTCAGACCTATAGCTGATTATTATATCCTGTATCTTCTTTGGTGATTGCTTAGGTAAACTATCCACATTTCACTTTTAATCTTTCCTTATATATCAACCCCTCTGGGCCCACAAACTTCCCTGAACTTCCTCCAATTTCTACAGATCTTTCTGCTCCAGAGGTGTGTGGAACTGAATGCAGTATTTCAGGTGCAGGCTCCTTAGTGGAATTACTACTATTCATTTATAAAGCACCATAAATGAACATGGTAAAATAAATTCCTTTCTCTGAAAAGCTTACAATTTATGGGACTCAAATCACAAAAAGCCAAATCAAGGCGTAGCCTGGGTCAACGGTCCAGGTAAAAGCATTTGTGGAAAGATTATGAAGTAAGGGAAGAAGCATTCCTTGATGAAGTGGATTGGATGGAAGAGGGAGAAAGTGCTTGATAACCCAGAATTAGGAGACTGCGCCAATTGTAGGAGATGATAGAAGGAAATGACAGCAGAGATGAAACTGGGGAAGGTGAAGGGGAGAGGTTATATAGGACTCTCTGATGGTGAGTAGGAACTTAATTTTGATGTAGTAAAAGAGAGGAAGCCAGTGCAGGGATTCAGAGCATGTGATGTGACTGGAGCAGTCAGACTGCAAAATTATTTTAGCAATAGACGTTTGTGTAAGGGGACTGTTACCCCCTTACTAACATTCAGTGGGGGTGTTTTGGTTGGCTAACTCCCAGTACTAAAAAGGGGAAAGGGTCGATGGGGAATCAGGACCCTGAGACTGATAGCCCCCAGGAACAATTGGGAGAGGCCAATGCTCCAGGTCAGCCTGAATGACAGGGTGGGCAGGCTAATCAGAGAGTCAGGAGGCCAGGGAGGTCCCGTCCTCCGTGTGAGCTGGATTTGCCTGGGTCAGACAGAGTGGGGCCGAGCTAAGGAGAAAGCAGGGGCTCAAGCTAAGCTGGGGAACAGAGCTGGGCCAGATCCAGAGGGACCAGAAAAGCAGCCCAGAGAGAGCAGACCTGTCCTTGGTGCAGAGCTGCAGCCCCAAAGCCAGAGGCACAGCCCAGAGAGAGCAGACTTGCCCTGGGAGCAGAGCTGCAGCAACCAGAGCCAGAGGGGCCAGAAAAGCAGCCCATGAAGCAGGTCAGTGCTGGGAGCAGAGTCACAGCAGCAGCCTGCAGAGCAGACCTGTCCTGGGAGCAGAGCTGAAGCAACCAGAGGCAGAGGGGCCAGAGAAGCAGCCCAGGGAGCCGGAGGCAGAGCAGCAGCGCAGAGACAGAGTGGTGCAGCTGGGGCTGGAACTGGGTGGGGTGAGCAGCTGGAGAGAGCGAGGGGTACCCTGGGCAGCAGGCCCAGCACAGGGAGACACCTCAGCCAAGGGGCTCTGCAGGCCAGGCCTGGATCATAACCCCGACAATACTGGGAAGAAGGGTCCTACCACTTAGAGCCTGAGAGCGTGTGGCCACCACCAGAGCGAGTGTCCAACTCACAGCATCCCTGCAGCACAGCCAGGGCCTGAGAAGAAGGCCTGGGACTTATAAGGAACAGATTGTGAAATGCCCTGACGTTCCAGAGACACTGTCTGTGATGTTCCCTGCCACAGAGCGGGGTGATGTGTTTCCTTTAACCTTTCCCATTTTATCTTATTCTTTTTAAAATTAATTGTTGATTAAATAACTTGCATTTGCTTTAACTTCTATGTAATGGTCAGTGGGTCAGAGAAGTGACTGGTGCAGAGAGAGTAACCCCGGAGTGGGGACACCCAAGCCCCTGTCCTAGGTGACCACAGCAGGGTTGGGGGTCAAGCCCCCGAGGAATCCTGGGCCCAGCCTTGTTGGCGTTACGAGGACTCTGCCAGACAGGAGAGTGGAAGGGGAGTCCTCAAGGGCAGGGAGGCCACTGGGTAAAGGAAGTGGGAGCGAGGACTCAGATCCTTTTGCTAGCCCACTTCACCGGGGTAGTGCAGAAGCCAGGAAAGTTCTCCACAAGAACGGGACTATTCCCCCCCCTTACATTTGGATCGGCTGGAGAGGCAAAAAGGCCAGGGGAAGGAAGGTTAAGGATGTCAGTCCTGTTAAAAGAAAAGGAGTACTTGTGGCACCTTAGAGACTAACCAATTTATTTGAGCATGAGCTTTTGTGAGCTACAGCTCACTTCATCAGATGTTTACCGTGGAAACTTTTCCACGGTAAACATCTGATGAAGTGAGCTGTAGCTCACGAAAGCTCATGCTCAAATAAATTGGTTAGTCTCTAAGGTGCCACAAGTACTCCTTTTCTTTTTACGAATACAGACTAACACGGCTGTTCCTCTGAGTCCTGTTAAAGGCAGTGGGGAACTCAAGATGAGAAACAGCAGAGAAGTGCTCAGTCACAGTAGTAGGAGGTCATAGCGACCTTTGAATGGGTGGTTTTGGTGCGTTAGAGAGACTGGTAGTGAAATAAGAGGGGATGAAGAAAGGAAACCCAGCCAGCAGAAGACACCCTGCTTAAGGAGACAGAGTTTGTGTGGTTAGAGACTGTACTTCAATCCCCACAATGTTGTATGCAGTTTAAACTGCCTTTTTTGGTGCCACTTCATATTGTAAACATTATATAAGTGTAATAGTGTTTATAGTGATTATTGAAGTTCTGATTGTGGATAACACTGTGTGTGTGTGTGTAAACATGCTTGTCCACTCTCACACTTACAGTAGGTTTCTTCTTCTGTAACTGGCTTCTATGTACTATTTTCCTGTTCAGTATCTCTCAGTCTGATTTCCCGCCCCCCCAGATGTAAGGGAGAACCTTGCATTTTTCTACAATTTTTCTACATTTTTCTCATTTTATTTCCTGCCATAATTTCAAATCTGCCTGAGCCCCCTTTTGTATTATTACTCTGTTATTCACATTTTACACAACTCCTCCTGCTTTTTAACGATGAGCCTCATTAACATAAATTCATTAATTAATTAGATCTGTCGTTTTTACAGGACCAAAGGTGATTGTGATTCTTTACAGATGAATTAAATAGACAGATCTGAGCCCTCGTCAGACTTAGATTCTAATTTAGACATTGTGCAGCAAGGGTTAGGGTTAGGGTGAGGGGAGTTTGTAGGAACTTTGAGGTCAACAACAGTGAGAGACTGAAAGATGCTCTGGTTGTACAGCTTTCTTGCAGGTAATCTTTCTCTTTTTAAAAGTTTTATTACATTTTGTATATATATATCATAATTTGAAAGAATGGAAACAGGCAAGATGGTAGGAGAGCAGTAATGTTGTGTGATGTTAAATAATACGGCACCCGCACCAGACAGCTCCCCCCACAACTTGATACATTGCTGTTTATCATTACTGTACTGCCCTTCAGCCAGTTTTCAATCCCCATGGAAGTGATCATATCAAAATCAGTACAAATTGATTTTAATTATCCTCCACAGATCTAGGGATACATGCCCCAGTATTCTCCACAAACTCACTTTGGCTTATCCAGCCACCCCAGTAGTTTTGCAGAATCATTAAATCAGTGGACTCATGAAAAACTATTTCTCTGCAGATATATAACTGTATCTATGGACCTAATTCTCTGCTGGCATAACTCCACTAACTTCAATGGAGTTACATTACGTTAGCAAAGAATTTGTCCCTCTATCTATGTGTAAATTGTTCTCTGATGTGTCTAATTGTCCATAGATTCATTGATACTTGGGCTGTGTTTACAGTAGGATTTTGAAGGCTTGTAATTCCCAGCAGATGTAGCTCCATCAGTGCCTACTCCAGTGGAGGTTTCAGTATAGAGAGGGCCCAGTTATTTTTACTTAAAATGCCTTGTTGAACAGTACAGTCAATGCTCAAAGTTCCTGAGCTAGCCTCCCCCTTGTCTACATGACATTCATGGTATAAGAGTTTAATACAGCACTCAAATTGATTTGGTCATTTTCTGGCCTTCTTAAAAACTGGTGTCCAGTGAAGCTTAATATTTAAAATAAAGTGGTGAGAGTAGTTCTTTTTGAGGAATGCAGTATGGGCTTTCCTTGCTGCAGTTCTAATATGACACCCCTAATCCTGGGGATATATACCTCTGATATTCCAGACTAGAAAGCCAAAACTTGCTCTTTGATAGCACTTTTCCCGCCCCAACCAGGAAAACCGAGAAGTCTGCTGCTTGCCAGGAACTAGGATTCACGATGTGACGGCGAGACTGCTGAGATGCATCAAGCCCTCGGATCACTACCCCTTCCTGCTTCTCCATGTGGGCACCAATGATACTGACAAGAATGACCTTGAGCAGATCATTGCAGACTATGTGGCTTTGAGAAGAAGGATAAAGGAGTTTGAGGTGCAACTGTTGTTCTCGTCCATCCTCCCTGTGGAAGGAAAAGGCTCGGGTAGAGACCGTCAAATCATGGAAGTCAACAAATGGCTACGCAGGTGGTGTCAGAGAGAAGACTTTGGATTTTTTGACCACGGGATGGTGTTCCAAGAAGGAGGAGTGCTAGGCAGAGATGGGCTCCACCTAACGAAG